ATCTCAGCTCACTGCAGCCTCCATCTCCCGGGTTCAAGCAATTCTTCCTCAGCATCCCAAGTAGATGGGATTACAGGAATATGCCACCACACCTAGCTAATTTGTTTGTATTTTTAGTAGAGATGGGGTTTCACCGTGTTAACCAGGCTGGTCCTGAACTCCTGACCTCAGGTGATCTGCCCTCTGTGGCCTCCCAAAGTGCTGGGATTACAGGTGTGAGCCACCATGTCCAGCCGGAGATTTTATTTTTTATAGAGGAAAGCTAGTTTTCTGATCTTGCATATTAGCTGCCTAACCTTTCCCAAATGATCCTCAATTAGTCTTTGACTAAGGAGGCACCAAAAGCTCTGAAGAGAATTCAGCTCCCCCAGACACAATCAACAACTCCCTTGTGGCTTCCACATCTTGAGAATGTCCCACTGTACTTACCATAATGGTGTGTTCAGGAAATTTGGCACGGACGAGTTTCACGAATTCCACAAAATGTTCTGAATACCCATTGGCCACATCCAGGCAAATAAACTTAACCTGTGGCACTGCGTCCAGGATGCTGCTCATCTTTTCCAGATCGTTCTGCCCACTGCCTGAACTCACGGCTACGTGCTGCACCAAAATAAACCAAAAAGACAGGCATGAACAGTAGCATTCAGACATCAGACCCTGCCCCATCTGTACACCTATTCTGGGAGGGTACAGCAATCCTAATCAAATGCACAGTGCACCTGCTTCAGACACATGCAACAGCAGAGGTAAAGGGGATTCATTCATTAAATTACCTAAACTTTGGCCAGGCACAGTGGCTCATGCTGTAATCCCAGCACTTTGGGAGGCCAAGGCAAGCAGATCACCTGAGACTGGGAGTTCGAGACCAGCCTGACCAACGTGGTGAAACCCCGACTCTACTAAAAATACAAAAATTAGCTGAGCGTGGTGGCTCACGCCTATAATCCCAGCACTTTAAGAGGCCAAAGCAGATGGATCACCTGAGGTCAGGAGCTCGAGACCAGCCTGGCCAATGCAGTGAAACCCTGTGTGTACTAACAATATAAAAATTAGCCAGGCGTGGTGGCAGGTTACTGTAATCCCACTTACTTGGGAGGCTGAGGCAGGAGAATAGCTTGAACCAGGGAGGTGGAGGTTGCAGTGAGCCGAGACAGTGCCACCAGCCTGGGCAACAGAGCGAGATTCCACACCTCTCCCGCCCCCCAAAAATAGCTACTGGCATGAATGTGTCACATCAGGGAAACTCCAGGGAGGACAATGAGCGAGAACTAGTAAGTTTCCAGGAAGACGGAGAAATGGCCAATCAGCTCAGGCTTTCCCAAATGAAAGCTGGGGTGTTCACCCTGAGTGCCCTGCTTGGGCAGCGAGCGAGAGGAAAGTATCTAAAATGCCTCTGATAAACTCCTATTTTTCTCTCCCAATAAAATACTAGCACAGCATGTGACATAGTTTGGATATTGTCCTCACCCAAATCTCATGTTGAAATATGATCCCCAATGCTGGAGGTGGGGCCTGATGGGAGGTTTGGGTCATGGGGATGGATCCCTTATGAATAGCTTGGGCCATCCCCGTGGTGATCTCTCGGTCTGAGTCACAGGAGATCTAGTCGTTTAAAAGTGTGTGACCTCCCACCCTCTCTTTCTCTCACTCTCCCACTTCGTCTTCCATCATGATTGGAAGCTTCCAAAGTCCTCCCCAAAGGCAGATGGTGGCGCTAGGCTTCCCGTACAGCCTGCACAGCCATTAGCCAATTAAGACCTCCTTTCTTTATAAATGACCCAATTTCAGGTATTTCTTTAAAACAATGTAAGACCAGCCTAATACAGCATGCACATCTCAGCCTGTTCACAGAACTGCAAATCTCTTTTCCTATTAAAGGGGTAAAATCTCCCAAGGTGTGAAAACAAACCTGACATGATTGTTCACAATTGCACTTCTAAGTGTTTAAATCTGAGGCCACCATTCCCGCTCCTGTAACACCCTCATCCCTTAGCTTCCACCAGTGCCCTTGAAGCTCACACCTCTCTCTTCTTTGAACATCTGCCCTTTGGAAAAGGACTTATTTTCACTAATGTATGCCTTACTGAGACTAAGACATGGATTGTTTATATTTTAACCCTTATCTCTACACCCTGGGCCACATGAGTGACATATCTTAATATCCTTTATGTTATTCCCCCAAATCATAACAACGTGGCTGCAGCCCCGGGGCTGAGTGTGAGCTGATGGGTAAATGACACATATTTACTCCAGCCTCCTCTGTGCATTCACGCCTGGGCCTCGTGGTTCACAGCTCTGCCCTGCGCCAGCCCAATCCACACGCCCACTCCCCGTGGCACTAGAGCTCTGCTTTTTCATCTGACTTCATTTCTGTTAACTACACTATATGGAACTTGAGATTGGTTGCCTTCTCTCACTGCTCCTAAGTTTTTAACACGATCTCTTTTGCATTCACCTTTTATTTGGTGGCGGGGCAGTGAACTTACTAGTCCAGGTATCACATTCGGTAATGAAGGCCACGGTTCCAGTTAATGATACATTGCCAAAAATTCCCTTAAAGAAGTTGGAGGGAAGCCAGGTGCAGTGGCTCACACTTGTAATCCCAGCACTTTGGGAGGCTGAGGTGGGTGGATCATTTGAGGTCAGTTCGAGACCAGCCTGGCCAACATGGTGAAACCTCGTCTCTACTAAAAATATAAAAAATGAGCAGAGTGGGGTGGCACACACCTGTAATCCCAGCTACTCAGGAGGCTGAGGCAGGAAAATCACTTGAACCCAGGAGGCAGAGGTTGCAGTGAGCCAAGATCACGCCATTGCACTCCAGTCTGGGTAGCAAGGGCAAAACTCTGCCTCAAAAATAAATAAATAAATGTTGGAGGGAGGTCTAAGCAAAAGAAAAAAAGAAAATCATTATTCCCAAATTTACCATAGGGAAAAACAGAAGAAAGTGAAAACAAGCATAATTCACTTGAACACAGTATGGTAAAAACGAAGGACTTACTACTGAGTCAGAGTGATTTTATCTCCAAAACCACTTTCTCACTAATCAAAATTAAAGCACAGTAACAGCCACCACCAAAAGCCAGTGAGACCTTGAAAACAGTACGATCTGAAGTCACTTTCCCATCATAAATCATCTGATCAGCAGGGAGCGGCTCTAACCCAGGGAGACCTGCCTGTGGCTTCAGCTCAGAACCCTGGAATGCGGAAGGAGGAAACGCAGGCGTGTTGCGGTAGGGCTTTTTGTTGTTTTTGAAACGCTTGGGTTTTTAACCGCTTTGTTGAAGTATAATGACATACCATACAACCCAGCCATTCAACACGCACAGTTCAATGATTTTTAGTATATTTAGAGTTCTGTAACCATCACGATCGATTTTACATTTTCATAAACCTCCTAAAGGAAGTCCTATACTCCTTAACCACACTCCCTCCCCCCACTTCCTCAGGCCACTAATCTGTTTTATGACTTAGATTTGCCTATTCTGGACATTTCTTATAAATAAGATGGTAGACGCGTCTGGCCTTTGCATCTGGCCTTTTCCTTTTTTGAGACAGTTTCGCTCTCGTTGCCCAGGCTAGAGTCAAATCTCTGCTTGAATCTGCCTCCAGGATTCAAGCGATTCTCCGGCCTCAGCCTCCCAAGTAGCTGGGAGTACAGACCTGCACCACCTCGCCCGGCTAATTTTGGATTTTCAGTAGAGACGGGCTGTCTCCACGTTGGTCAGGATGGTCTCGAACTCCCGACCTCAGGTTATCCGCCTGCCTCGACTTCCCAAAGTGCCCGGATTACAGGTGTGAGTCACTATGCCTGGCCAGGTCTGGCCTTTTCACTTAGTGAAATGTCCTCCAGGTCAATCCATCCTGTAGCCCATGTCAGACGTTCATTCCCTCTATGGCTGAACAATAGCCCATTGCATGGATAGACCTTATTTTATGAGTCCTTTCACACACTAATACACATTTGGGTTGTGTCTACTTTTGAGCTATTATGAATAACGCTGCTGTGAACATTCATATTCAAGTTTTTCTGTGGACATGTGTTAATTTCTGTTGGGTCTACACCTAGAAGTGGAATTGCTGGGTCGCATGGTAACTCTTATGATTACAGTTCTGAAGAAATGACAGCTGTTTTCCAAAGCAGCTACACCATTTCCCATTCCCAGCAGTGAATAAGGGTTCCAATTTCCCCACATCCTCAACAATTATTTTCTTTTTTTTAAATAGAGATGGGGGTCTCACTGTGTTGACCAGGCTACCCTCGATCTCCTGGGTTCAAGCAATTCTCCCACCTTGGCATTCCAAAGTCCTGGGATTACAGGCATGAGCCACCATGTCTGGCTAATTATCTGTCCTTTTGATGATAGCGATCCCAGTGGAAATGTTGTTGTTTACTGAACTCTAAAACACTTTGTTAGAAGTTTTTTCTGCAGCCCAAAGACTAGATCTACCTTGGAGTACCTGGCAGGAAACACAGGTCTTTCCCAAGCTCTTGAGACATAACCATTCCTCTTTCAAGAGAAAATGGACATTTCTTACAGATAAATGCTAGTATTTTAATAACACGATACAGAAACGAGTTTCCTCAGCAAATCCCTGGCAATGGCACGGGGCTGGAGAAGCAGCGAACTCTTTACGACTCTCTGCTACTGCCTGAAATCCTCTTGACAGCTCTGAAGATGTAGTTCCCCCTGCAACACTGAACCGATCATCAGGCTGTGGTCCTACCTGCAGGCATTCCGGGTGATTTGTGGCAAAGAGCTTCCAGTCATCCAGGGAGTAATGCTTATGAATTGCTGTAAACATGGAGTGCTAGGAAACAAAACAGCACCATTAGGATGAGAAGCCAAGTGCAACCCCCCCGCCTCCATCTGGAGGTGGTAATCCCACCAGACAAAGGCATCAGTGTTCCTGCCATTCATGCTTGATTTACTTTGAGTATGCTCCTAGCAGCCATAACCAGACAAAGGTACAACCATTGAAATCACAAAACCCCGTTTCCCATTCTAATCTGATTAGGCATTGCTGCATTCAGCACTAAGGAGGCTCCGCCAGCAGGGAGGAGACGGATAAAAGAGAATTCTCAGAGCCCTGCCCGGCCCACCCAGGCTCCCTCTCACACCTGCATTAGGTCAAAAGCAGCACAGATGGTCCAAAGAGAGACCCATGCAGCAGGTCCACGGCCCAGGAGAAGGGCCATCCTAACACAAACTTCTTCTTAGCCAACCCTGAAGAACCTTACCTGATACGTGAAAGCTTTCTTTTGTATTCACAACCTGAACACTTCTTACTAAAAGGTAAATCCATCGGGCAGCTGGTATTCTTGAGGGTAGGAATGATATAAAGTGTAACCCTAAATCTATGATACTGCTCCTGCGTTTGTGTCAGTCTTTCCCACCTATGATTTCATTTAGTTTTTGGAACAACTTTGAACAGTATTATTATCATTATATGAGATGGAGTCTTACTCTGTCGTCCAGGCTGGAATGCAGTGGCATGATCTTGGCTCACTGCAACCTCCGTCTCCCGGGTTCAAGTAATTCTCCTACCTCAGCCTCCTGAGTAGCTGGGATTACAGGCACCTGCCACCACGCCCAGCTAATTTCTGCATTTTTATTAGATATGGGGTTGGCCAGGCTGCTCTCGAACTCCTGACCTCAGGTGACCTGCCCGCCTTTGCCTCCCAAAGTGCTTGGATTACAGGCGTGAGCCACTGCGCCTAGCCTGAACAGTATTAGCAGCTTTGTGGGCAGAAATGGAGCTGAAGAAATTTAAATTGGCCAGGCACATACAGGATCACGCCTGTAATCCCAGCACTTTAAAAGGCCAAGGCAGGAGGATTGCTTAAGCCCCGGAGCTCGAGACCACCCTGGCAACATGGCAAGACCCCATGTCTATTTAAAAAACAAGAAAAAGGGCCGGGCGCGGTGGCTCAAGCCTGTAATCCCAGCACTTTGGGAGGCCGAGGCGGGTGGATCATGAGGTCAAGAGATCGAGACCATACTGGTCAACATGGTGAAACCCCGTCTCTACTAAAAATACAAAAAAATTAGCTGGGCATGGTGGCGTGTGCCTGTAATCCCAGCTACTCAGGAGGCTGAGGCAGGAGAATTGCCTGAACCCAGGAGGCGGAGGTTGCGGTGAGCCGAGATCGCGCCATTGCACTCCAGCCTGGGTAACAAGAGCGAAACTCCGTCTCAAAAAAAAAAAAAAAAAAAAAAAAAAAAAAAAAAAAAAAAAAAAAAAAAAAAAAAAAAAACAAGAAACATTCAAACTTACAAAATTTGCTGGGCATGGTGGCACATACTTGTAATCCTAGCACTTTAGGACGATGAGACGGGTGGATTGCCTGAGGTCAGGAGTTCGAAACTAGCCTATCATGGTGAAACCTCATCTCTATTAAATACAAAAAATTAGCCGGGTAGGAGGGTGCACACCTGTAATCACAGCTACTCGGGAGGCTAAGGCAGGAGAATCACTTGAACCCAGGAGGTTGAGCTTGCAGTGAGCCAAGATCATGCCATTGCACGCCAGCCTGGCCGACCAGAGCAAAACTCCATCTCAAAAAAAAAAAAAAAAAAAAACTTACAAAATTTAACAACTGCTACAAACTTTAACAAGCGCACAGCCAGGAAGAGGTAGAGGCCAGAGTCAAACTCGGATCTGACTACGGAGATCGGACACCCAACCTCGTATAGAACAGAAGCCTCCCACCTAACTTCTCTGGGCTGCCTGTGTTCCATCTACAGCTTCTCATTCTAAACTTCTGTGACTTTGGTAACTTGCGCTAGCTCCATGGATCCTAGAAACAGGAAATTCGCAGTAGCCACCCATGGTTAGCTACACCAGTCTACGCTATTCCGTCAGTAGGGAGACTTCCTAGGAAAATGGGAAGAGCACAGCAAGTTCTAGATTTTCCCTGGATTATAATCTATTACCTGAATTAATCAGACTTGATAGTTCCCTGGTTCCCCTTGCTTTTTCACTAACACGATTCATTAGTAGCAATGGCTGATGACAGAGCAGAGCACGGAGAAGGTAAGGAGAAAAAAATACCAGTTCCTTAGCAATTAATTTATTAGCCTCTGGCCCAATGCTCAAGAGGGGCTGAGGTCTGACAGAAAATACCAGTGATCATGGAGTTGGGCGGACCACCTCTACTCCATTTTTGGAGCTCATAATTTATTTGAGAATCTTTTCCTTCGAATCACCGGCTAATAATGAATCTCAGCATCTCCTGTGGTTAGACTTGCTGCCCACAGTGAGAAACACTCCAAACTAATTGGATTTATTTTTTCACTTGGCAGGTATTATCCACAGGAGAGACAGAACCCCTGAGTGCAGCAGACATTCCACACTGAGGATGCAGAAGACGCTCTGCACCTCACCCATAAAGCTCCTGCCCACCAACAGGGTTTCCTTTATTTTTCCCAAAGCCAGGATACTCTTTTTAATTTAATTTTAACCAACAATACTTCTCAGATTGATCTACACAATGAATTTTTTTTTTTTTTTTTTTTTAGGGTCTTGCTCTGTCACCCAGGCTGGAATGCAGGGGCACAATCTTGGCTCACTGCAACCTTCGCCTCCCAGCTCAAGTGACCCTCCCACCTCAGCTTCCCGAGTAGCTAGGACCACAGGCTCACACCGCCACACCCAGGAAATTTTTGTGGTTTTTTGTAGAGATGAGGCTTCACCATGTTGCCCAGTCTGGTCTTGAACTCCTGAGCTCAAGCAATCCGCCTGCCTCTACCTCTCCAGATCCTGGGATTACAGGTGTGAGCCACTGCGCCCAGCCAAAGTCAGGATACTACCTACCCTCTTTATAGTAAATTAGGCCAGTGTAGTTGGCTAAAACAGACCTTGAGCGTGTACTATGATCTGTCCCTTTAAGTTGAGAGGTAAATTCCTTAAATTCTAAAGTCAGTTTGGGTTGGAATCCTGATTCTCTCTCTGTATATATCTGGCTAAGGGCCTAGGACAACTTACCTGCCCTTCCTCTCTCTGCCTCAGTTTCCTCATTTGTAAAAGGAACCTATCTTGTTGAGTTGTGTCAAGAATTAAGAGATACAGCTCCCCCCCACCAAAAAAAAAAAAAAAAGAGATACGGGCCAGGCACGATAGCTCAAGCCTGTAATCCCAGCACTTTGGGAGGTCGAGGCAGGCGGTTCACCTGAGATCAGGAGTTTGAGGCCAGCCTGGCCAACGTGGTGAAACCCCATCTCTACTAAAAACACAAAAATTAGTCAGGCATGGTGGCAAGCACCTGTAGTCCTAGCTACTTGGGAGGTTGAGGGAGGAGAATCATTTGAACCAGAGAGTGGACACTGCAGTGAGCCAAGATCACGCCTCTGCATTCCAGCCTGGGTAAAACAGCAAGACTCTGTCTCGAAAAAAAAAGAGAATTAAGAGATACATTATGTGCAGTGTTCTGCACATGAGCACCCGATACATGTATTTGGCATAATTATACAGTAAATGCTGCAGCAGACTGCATACAAAACAGCTCTGCCTTCATTTCAAAGGGACTGTCATTTTTTCTGCAATATGGCACTCTTCATGTTGTCTAGCTTCTCTTTGTATCTCTAACTTGCAAAACTATCACTGTCTCTTTCAGAGAAGCCATGAATTCAGATCTAGACCACCTCACTGAACACAATGCCCAGACATGGTCCACTTTCTGACTGACGGGGGAGACAGAGGATGACCCAAAGCGTCTCACATTTCTACTCTTCCCTGTGTCTGAATAAAGCCAGGGTGGGCTCCTGATAACTTGTCCATGTTGACAGCAGCAAAGGGAAAAAATAAAAACCTACCGCCTCACCTGTGACATCACAGCTGCCATCTCAAATGTGCCCACAGTGTCCATGTTGGCCACGATGATGGGAATCCCTGCGTAGGTCTGCTTTGAATTTCGAAACGTGAAGGTGCGTTCAAGATCCACCTGTTGGCAAAAAACAAACAAACAAAAAAAAAAAACAAAAACCAAATGGGAAAGAAATGAGTGCTTTGCTCTTATGTGAAATGTACAGAATTTCTGGAGTTTGGAGCGAGCAGGAACAATACAAAGGTCCCTGGGCGCTCTTAGGGGTGAAAGACAGGTATTCCAAAAGACACTGGAGTCCCCAAGGAAACCAAGTAACACACTGGATCTAGGCGCAAAAGCTGAAATGGGCTCCTCACCCTCCCTTGATCAAGCACCAGCAGAAGGCACTAGAAATTCCACCGAGACAAGCCCGTGGATCGGAAGCTCTCTCCTCCTTTCCCAGCCTCTCCAATCCCACAGCCGTCTTCTATCCGCATCCCAGAAGACCCACATATACGTTATCTTCTCCCCACTCCCAAGGCCTGGAGAAACCACTCCCCTCATAGGAGCACCTCCCCACTCTTCCTTGCCAACCACTGCCCTCCTCCTGAGCAGTCCCCACTTCTTACCTTTCACCTAGAGCCATCCTCTGAATTCCCCTGCAGTGAGTGCCACACCATGACCCCCTGGCCTTTCGCCCTCCACAGCTGCTTTAATGATGAGGATCTTTCAAAAAGCTGGTGAAAAGTACCTTGCACCCGTATGTTCCCATGTATCAGCACTTGTTCCTTTGATTTGCAAGGGGCTGGAGGGTTGGGGGGAGGCCCAGTTCGCCTGTAACTTCAAGATCAGGGCACGTAGGACTAACTTTGCTCTTGGCAATCCCGAACAGCAGCACAGACACAAGGGTGGCCTGGCAGAAGCCGCGTGCTAGAGCCAGGCCCTCACCAAGGGCTAGCAGAGTCCAAATCACTTCTCTGACCCAGGGCAGGTGCCAGCCTGTCTGCCCACCCACCAACCTCAGCCTGCTCTTATCCCAGGAAGGCTACCTCCTACAGGCTCCATTTCTCCAGTTCCTTCGTGGCTGGGATTGGCCAATGGAGGACTCTGGGTGGGAAACTGGAGGACAATGGCAGGGAGAGGTGGGGAGATGCCGCGGTAGCTCTCTCAGAACCCCTCTGTTAGGCAGCTTCTCCAGAGCAGCTCCACTGCCCCCAGGCCTGGAGAGGCCCACATGTTCCTTGTTCCAGCTTTCCCTAAGGAGCCCAGTCCATTCCTGGGCTCCAGAACACCGCCTCCTCCCTCTGACCCTCACCCTAGGGTGGGGTGGCTTCTTGCTGTTGCTGATCTCTGGGGTACTTCAATATCCTCAGTTGTGTGAGGATGCCCTGAATTCAATTCTATGTTTTCAACAGTCGGCACTGTTTGTTTCTCTGGCTGGACTCTGATGGACGCAGACCACATTAGAAGTGGGTGCTTCCCCAAGGGGAGCCAGCCAGAGGAACATAGGTGGGAACCGAATGCTTCTGAAGTAACTCAGACCTACATTAACCCTGGCTTCATGAATATACCGGCAAGAGTCATTTTCCTTCCTTTCTTTCCTTCTCCTCCCCCTCTTTCTTTCTTTCTAAGACGGAATCTCACTTTGTCGCCAAGGCTGGAGTGCAGTGGCGTGATCTTGGCTCACTGCTACCTCTGCTGCCCAGGTTCAAGGGATTCTCCTGCCTCAGCCTCCCGAGTAGCTGGGATTACAGATGCCTGCCATCGTGCCTGGCTAATTTTTGTATTTTTAGTAGAGACAGGGTTTCACCATCTTGGTCAGGCTGGTCTTGAACTCTTGACCTTGTGATCCACCTGCCTCAGCCTCCCATAGTGCTGGGATTACAGGCATGAGCCACTGCACCCAGGCAGCAAGAGTCATTTTCTGCCAGTGTTTATCGAGATATTTCTTTTATTTTTTTTTCACTTAAGACAGCGTGCACTCTGCAATCAGCATGAAGTCAGAAAACACCATGGATAGCTCAGGCCCTTTAGCCTTTTCATTTCTCTTGTTTCTCAACACAGGGTTCCGTGTCCAGAAAGCGTCCTGGGTGAGCGACATCATAAACATACTGCACAGGCCTCACACAGCCACCAATGAAGGAAAATGAGATGCGGTAAGGGCACGAACCTGCCCACTCTCCACTCCCTTCCCGACAACTCTGGGTTCTACTTCAGCGGAGCATGTGATGGCAGCATTCTGAAAGAGAACTGAAGGGCTCTACCCACTGCAACCTGCGTGCAGCTAATGGCCCTCTATCATTTGGCTTCGCACGCTTGAAATGATCAGAATTCCTTGGTCTCAAATTACTCTTCTATCCTCCAACAGGCACGGGGCTAGCAGCCGCACTGCACCCGGCTGAGATCACAATGGGTTTTTCTTGGCACTCCAAAACCTATCAGCAGGACACAAAACATAGAGCTCTTAATGGAAAAGGGCAGCCTTAACGGGAAACTCTTCCCCTCATTTCCAGTCCTTTTTATGAGGTAGCTCTTTGCCATCCTTAATTCTAAGAATGAGAAATAAAATGGTCGTCCCCAACTTGATCCGCCCAGACACACACACCTCAATAGCCCAGACCAGTTGTTCACTACCAGAGATAAACATTTTGAATATTTCAGCCTCACAGGAATGCTTGGCACTGAGTCCGGCACAGCCGGCCAATACGCCAAATATAGATTTGATTCCCTGAGCCTGACCTGAAAGGGAACATAAAGTAACAACCCCCCCCCAACCCCCCAACCCCACATCTCTGCTGCTCTCTAACAGGCCTTCATTAAAGCCAGTCCTACCACCCAACATGTCAGGGGTTCAGAGGTGCACGCGCGCCAGCATGGTGGCTCACACCGGTAATCCCAGTGCTTTGGGAGGCTGAGGCAGGCAGATCACTTGAGCTCAAGCATTCAAGACCAGCCTGGGCAACATGGTGAAACCCCGTCTCTATGCAAAATATAAAAAACTAGCGAGGCTTGGGTGGCGTGAGCCTGTAATCTCAGCTACTCAGGAAACTGACGTGGGAGGACTGACTGAGCCTGGGAGGTTGAGGCTGCAGTGAGCCACGATCATGTCACTGCATGCCAGCCTGAGTGACAGCGTGAGACCTTGTCTTAAAAATAATAAATAAATAAATAACAGAGGCCCACCTGCCACATTCCTAAATAATTCAATGTGATCAGTCCAACAAACAAATGGCTACTTATAAAATAGGTTCTAACCTCCTGTCCTAAAAAAAAAATTTCATTCACAACCAAATGGCTACATAAAATAGGTTCTGACCTCCTACCCTAAGAAAACAACTTCATTCACAACCAGAGAGGCAGCATGGCATGGCAACGGGGAGCTGGTCCTGGCCCAGTCCACCCCTCTTCCCTTCTCGCCCCAATCCTTATGTGTGCAAGATGAACAGCCCCCCACCTTCGGTCTGCAAATGAAGCTCTGTGCATACCACCTACCTGCCCACCAACATTGTTGCGTGCCCACTCTTGGGTTGCAGGTGAGCACGCCAGCAGCCTGGGTGGCCCTTGGAACACCCCAGCGCAAGAGGCCCATGCAGGCCAAGAATCAGCTCACCTGGGGAAGGATATCCAGGATCCTGAGTACCTGGAGCATGGCCTAAGGAACAGCATAGCCCACAGGCCCTACCCAGTGAGGAGGGATGCAATTAGGGGACAGACGTGGGACCCAGGACACGGGCTTCTTTTTCTAGTTCTACAGATAGCACCGAGTAATACAATTCTTTTTTTTTAGATGCACTTTTGCTCTTGTTGCCCAGGCTGGAGTACTATGGCGTGATATCAGTTCACTGCGACTTCTGCCTCCCAGGTTCAAGCGATTCTCCTGCCTCAGCCTCCTGAGTAGCTGGGATTACAGGAATGGGCCACCACGCCTGGCTAATTTTTGTATTTTTAGTGGACATGGGGTTTCTCCATGTTGGTCAGGCTGATCTCAAACTCTGGACCTCAGGTGATCTGCCCACCTCGGCCTCCCAAAGTGCTGGGATTACAGGCGTGAGCCACTGCTTCCAGCCCAGCAATTCTTTTATTTTGTACTTTATTATATAATCTATTCCATAGTTTGCTCATTATCTGCCTCACCTGTCTGAGTACAGGGACAATGTCTTCCAACTTTGTAGTCCTAGTGGGGCTCAAAAAGCATGGGATAAACTAGTGCACAGCTAAAAGGTAAGAAGAATACTACATTCTGGGCCTCAGCCTTTTGCAGTGTTTGGTGGCCCCAGCCCAGACCTTTTCGTGTGGATCCAAGCCCTGGGAGCTCACCACCAGTTGTCAAGCTCGTGAGAAGCTTGTGCCCAGCTGCAGTGCTACCAGCAAGGGCAGGCTTCCACAAACAAGAAGGGCTTCAGAGGCTGGCCCAGCACACCTGAGTGCACATCGGAATCCTCTTAGAAGTGGTTCCATTCATTTCGTTTCCTATGGTTTCCAATTAATCATTCCTTCACTACTTTTGGGAAAGACACGGGATAGTGAGCTCTGTCAGGGTAGTAGGTAGATAGCTAGACATGGACAGGAGGGGAGCTCCTGGGAAAGGGAAAGTCTGGGAAGGCTCACCTGGAGGGAACACCAAAAATTTACATATTAGTAGCATCTCTAATGCTGGAGTGGCTGGGAACTTGTCAGTCTTGGGTAGGAGGAAGAAGAGGTACCTATGCAGAAAGAAATATCCTAGAACCCTAAAACAGATTTACAAGAAAAAAACAAGCAAGCCCATTCAAAAGTGGGCAAAGGATATGAACAGACACTTTACAAAAGAAGACATATATGAGGCCAACAAACATACAAAAAAGTGCTCATCATCACTGGTCATTAGAGAAATGCAAATCAATACTACATTGAGATACCATCTCATGCCAGTTAGAATGGCGATCATTAAAAAATCTGGAGACAACAGATGCTGGAGAGGATGTGGGGAAATAGGAACACTTTTACACTGTTGGTGGGAGTGTAAATTACTTCAACCATTGTGGAAGACAGTGTGGCGATTCCACAAGGACCCAGAAATAGAAACTCCATTTGACCCAGCAATCCCATTAGTGGGTATATATCCAAAGGATTATAAATTGTTCTACTATAAAGACACA